TTTCAGAGTAAGCTGCCCTAAGAGTTTACCTATGTTCACATAATTAATATGTTTGATCAAACATTGTGTTTTCACATTCTTCTGGGTTATAAAACAGGCTACTTCCAGGATTCAGAGAGGACACTAATACAAGTTAAAGAGATAGAGATTGTAATTCAATGCACTTTTTGTTAAATTCAGTGAATACTTTTCTGTGATATTTGGAGTTGATGCTACAAGGTACTGAAATTAAAGTAGTGTTAGGTCAGGAGTTAGATCTCCCCTCAATATAATATTAAAGTATTTCATTCTGCTTCCTAATAACCTCCCAGCTGCTGAACGGTGCAAAGGTGGATTTCACCGGCCCCTGTCAGTATCCACAGCAGATGTGAGGAGAGTCCTGCTGAGAGTGAATATGAGTAAATCAGCTGGGCCTGATAACATCCAGGGCCGTGTACTAAAAACCAGAGCCAATCAGCTAGTTGATGTTATTACTGACATTTTCAACATCTCACTGTCTCAGGAGAGGGTTCCCACCTGCTTCAAGACAGCCACCATCAATCCTGGACCTAAAAAGTCTGCAGTGTCCGGTCTGAACGACTGCCGCCCTGTGGCTCTCACCCCTTTCTGATGAAGTGCTTTGAGGAACTGGTTCTTCAGCACATAAAGAACAACATCCCAGCCAGCCTGGACCCTCAGCACTTTGCTTTCAGAACCAACAGATCCACAGAGGATGCCATCTCCACTGCCCTCCACTCAGCCCTCACACACCTTGAGAAAAACAACACCTACGTCAGAATGCTGTTTGTGGATTTCAGCTCAGCGTTCAACACAATCTCCCCATGAAGCTGATCAGCAAACTCTGCACTCTGGGTTTAAACACAACACTCTGCAGCTGGATACTGGACCTCCTCACAAACAGACCCCAGACAGTTCGGATTGGTGGACTCACCTCCTCCACTCTAGTGCTCAACACCGGAGCCCCCCAGGGCCGTGTGCTCAGCCCCCTCCTGTTCAGCTGTACGCCCACGACAGAAACCCTCAACTTGACTGGTGCTCAGAGAACAAGCTACTGCTCAACGTCAGCAAAACTAAGGAGCTGATCGTTGATTTCAGGAAAAAAGAGATGAAGACACACTCCTGTCTCCATCAGTGGAGCTGAGGTGGAGCAGGTGAACAGTTTCAGGTTCCTGGGAATCAGCATCACAGAGAACCTGACGTGGTCGTCTCACATCTCCACGCTGGTGAAGAAAGCTCAGACTCGACTGTATTTCTGGAGGAAGCTTGAGAAGACTAAATTCCCACGCCAAGTTCTTGTCAGCTTTTACAGAGGAGCAACAGAAAGCATCCTGACTGGAAACATCACTAACTGGCATGGGATGTGCACGGCCCAGGACCGGAGGGCTCTGCAGGGGGGGATTCAAACTGCTCAGAAGATCATTGGTACCCATCTCCTGAACATCAGTGATATCGGTGAGGTGAGGTGTCTGCAGAGCCCAAAGGATACTAAAGGACAGTACCCACCCAGCCACAGCCTGTTCACCCTGCTGCCTTCTGGGAAGACATATAGAAGTTTCTGCTGCCGCACCACCAGACTGCAGAGCAGCTTTTCCCCCCAAGCTATCAGACTCAAAACTCTTAAACTCAGATTCATAGCACTGCTCCATTGAATATAGTTTATTTCTGTTTACCATTTTTATAATGCTTTTAATTAATTTAATTAATTTTTAATTGCTTTGTTTCGTATCAGCTGGATGGAGTGGATTCGCTCTGCGATACGAGCTTATCACTTATACATTTGTATTTTACTGCGTGGGAATATTGATGTGTGGGATGAGACTGTGTTAAAACTGTCAACAGTCTTGTGAGACAGCTTTTAACCTGACGAGAAATCTCCTACTAACTACAAATTATTTCATTCAATTAAAGCTCACAACTTTTCGAAGAATGCTGTTTTTGAAGAATTGAAGTTTTTCTTTTATGTGTTCCTTTCTTGCAGGCATTGGTTTGAAATGATTCCTTTATATCAGGGGTGTAACGGTACCCAAAATTCATGGTTTGATATGTACCTGGGTTTTGGGGTCATGGTTCAGTACGTGTTAAATACTGCAGGAGAAACAAATATATTTTGAAAATAGCATTTCATCATATGTTTTGAGATATTTACGTTATAAATGTTCAACAGTGACTCATTGGCCATAATTCTTACTGTAACATTTAAGGCGCTCAAATACTGGCATGCTGTATTCAAAAAAAAAAATAGCATAAACAAATAGCACAAATGTCAGTAATCTGACTGAGCAACTGTAGCTTGTTTTCATTTTTACAAGACACCCCAATGAACTGACTAACATGCAACGATGAAGACACATTATAGCAGTGCGCAAGCACTTTGTGCATATTTTTAAGCACGTGCTTAAATTCTGTATTCTCTGCTACTGAGTATGGGTGCATATCCGCAGAGCTGTTCAGGCCGTGCTTTGACAAGGACTGAATCTGCACCGAGAGGCTGCTTAAACGCTGTGGGGAGAAGGACTGGCATGCCAGTTTGGTTTTGTTTCATTCTGCTAACCAACTCATTCGCTGTGTTTTACAAAGGATTTACACAGTCAAATCAATTGTCAAGGATTGCCAGTAGTCATGCGTCCTGTTTTATTGACATTACTGACCCCCAGTGGACGTCGACAGTAGTGTTTAATTTTCATACCATTTGCATGCGACACAGTTCTCTCCTTTCGGTCGAGCCTTGGAGAAGATATGTCTGTGAGAACAGTGTGAGAAAATTAAACTAACTCTTTAGTTCATACTCTATGGATATGTGCTATATTTGCTGTATACTGATATTTGCTTTGTATTGTATTTTGTAGAGCCGACCGATTTATCGTTTTGGAGTAATTATCGGCTTAATGTTATGGTAACCTAGTGTTGGAGGCTACGCTGCTGACAGACGTGATTGTAGATTTAGTTTTGAAACAGTTTGGCAGTTCTAGGGGCCGGTCCCTTCATTTCTCTCTTATCTATTACTTCTAAATATTTTCTAACATCGCCAACAGCAGATAACGCTGCCTGTTGCTAAATTAGCCACAAAGCTAATGCCCTGTTTATCAGTGGAGGAGCGCTAACATTAAAGAGTGATTCCACTGTAGTGTCTCTAGTTACAGTCGGCGTGTCAGAAATGATTAAACGTGAGCTGAACAAGTATCTAACACACAGTTGCAGGTCCTCGTTGTAGACGGTCATGTAGTGTTAGATTAATTCAATATGTAAGGTAATAACTACTGCATGGGTTACAAAATACATATATATAAATAATTATTTGCCTATGTAGGAGAGCCCTGTTTACCATTATAGCAATGACATGAGAGATGATATATAGTATTATTAGTTTTAGTAGTACTATATTGTTATTTTTTATAGTTTCGCTGGCCCACACAATACATATACTATTTAATGTTTATTAGTAGTAGTACTCCATAATTTATAATAAATCAGATATTTTAAAAATGTGTTCTGTAGTTTTATACATTTGACTCTTATTTATCAAAACTTTAATATTTTGTTGTACTTTTTCTAACAATACAAGTTTATTTTTAAACCGCATTACGTCATGGTATCTTGGTGAAGTCTCAACATAACAAAGGTTAGGAATAGTCTTTGTTTATGTTATATGTTTCTTAAAATAAGGGGAGAAGAATATCGGCCGATTTATCAGCTATCAGATGTTAAAATACTCAAATATCGAAATTGGTATCAGACTTAAAAGTGTCATATCTGTTGGGCTCTATTATTTTGTTTAGTTTTACAGAAACGACCATCAGTAAAGCCTCAGTCAGCCTTACTTATGGTTTTCTGGAATTTTTGTTCGCTATCTGTCTAGCATTGCTCAGGCCAGCAGTTGTGTTTTGTGTGTGTGTCAGTGTGTGTATTTTTGGTGGGTTAACACAGTAGCTCCGCTTTTATGTTGAGAAGCTGCAGAGCTGCAGTCTCTGTTCACTAGTCACTGGAACTTACCCTGTAAGTTTCATCATAAACCACGGTAAAAAGGGTTAGTATTACCATTACAAATTTGAATTATGATTATGATTAAAACCTTAATCAATTACCGTGCTTTGAAAAACAGTAAACAGAGTCCAGTATCAACCAAAGTTAGCAGTCTCCCAAACAGTCTCCCAGACGCAGCATTCAGCGTGGCTTTGTACTGGGACAATTAAAATATTGCGAAAGGCAGTGACAGCGTTTTCAGCCTAGTCCTCATGTGGTTGTATTTTGGTTTTTATAGAAGTGCTGAGGGAACCTTGAATGGCAGCGGCTAGCGAATGCAGGATGTTAACATTTAATGCACTACGTGATATGTGGACTTCCGAATGAGGGAACATGTCATGGTTTGTCTGTCTGACTTGCTAGCAGTAGTCATAACATTATTACAGACTCCTGTAGAAGACTACTCTGTATTTATATCAAATGTTGAGCTCATTGCAGTTACTGTCACTGTCTTCTTAAGCATGGGGCCATTGCATTATACTTTATAAATTCATAACATTTAATTTTAATGCTTAATCATTTTGATATGGCTGTCATGGTTTACATAAGATATTGGCTGTTTTTATTTTATTGTCTATGCAAAAAAAAAAAATTGTATTTGTGGTTTTCAATATGAAACTTGGTGAAATGGTTTCCATGTGTGTATCAGCACATTTTAACAATACAGCCTATACTGATGACTGTGATCACTTCATTGTAATCATGATGTGAAATTTTCAGACTGTTTCATCTTTAAGGCCCAGTAAGCTTTGGCAATAATAAGAGCACTTATTATGTTCACTGTGATGGACCTCAAGTAGCTTAAAGTTCATTTTCTGACCATACTGACATAAATGGAAACCAATGGCTGTCTGGAAGCCAGTACAATGCATTCCAAGATCTTTTCCAAAGCACAGTTTTCTGAAATGTTCCCTCTTCAAGAACATCATTAACATACCCAAATGAAAATAAAAAGCTGATCTGTAGGGAGACTTACTCACCATGGATAGGGCTGTGCCCCACTGTAAGGGGGATCGGCCTCTCAGGATGGGACTGGACATGCGTCTGTGTGTGGTGTGTGTGGTAGTATTTGGGCTTTATAACATACTGCTGGCTCTGACCTGGGTGCATGGGCCGAATCCTGCAGGGAAAGAAGAACATAATCAGTTGTAAAATAATGAATAATGAATAATAATATAGTTGTATAATATAGTTGTTTATTTTTTTTTTGTTTTTTTTTAAATTGATAGAAAATGACCACGAGAAAATGATCATAACAAATACCCTTACACATCAAAATCATTCATGTTTTCCAGGCAGAAAACGTTCGGGCCAATTACACTACATGGTCAAAAGTATGTGGACTGGTTTATATGTTTTTGTATTACTTTTATGAGCATAGCAAAAACAGTAAGTCTGCTTGAGTTCCCAGATTCCAGCATGGGCTGGTGGTAAAAATAAAAGTAGGCATGAAAATATCTGTGTGCTCATCAGTGCTTGGTCAGCTGTTAGTAATCAGAACCACCATGCATCCCTTTACATCCTCTAATATTAAATACACAGTGAAAGCCCACGTTCTGCATAGACATATACTGCGTTTACATCCTTTATGTTCTAAATTAGGTCAATAACTTTATACAGTCAGCCCTGTTTACTACAGACTGAATCTACTTGTTCCCTGTGACAGCGTTTTCTCCGTGTTAGTTTCCCTGCAGACCCAGCTATCTTCCGACCATAGTAAACTGCCTAGCGTTTTTGTAAAAGTAATGGTCTGTATTTGTATAGCGCCTTCCTGTCTTCTGAACACTCAAAGCGCTTTTACACTACATCACATTCACCCATTCACACACGAGCCAAAGTACTTGAACAGAAACTAATATTCACACACATTCATATACCGATAGAACAGCCATTGTGGGCAATTTGGGCAATTTGCCGTTTTGACTATTGTGGACACCCTGGAGGAGTCGGGGACTGAACTTCCGACAACCCGCTTGACCTCTTGAGCCACAGCCGCCCCAATTGTACCTCTGCCTGTGTGTTTGTCTGCATTTGCAATATATAGTCTTTACCTGTGCCACCTGGATTCGTGCATTGCGGGACATAACACTACATGTCAACATTCACCCATTCAAGGTTCCAACTGCTAAAACAATGGCTGACCAGTGATATTCTGTAGCTTTGCACATATATATAACCCTTCCCCAGGGTTGTCCAATGTAGGATACAAGAAGAGTGCAGGGCCACAGAAAGGAGATGATAGACATGGAGGAAGAGCCATTTGTCAACCAGGCATATTTTTATCCCATTCATATAATAGGCTCCCTGCCATGGTATAAATAAACAGAAAGTAATAGCCTTGTAAATAGCTCTGCTATGACCCTGTAATGTCTTAAATAGCTCTGTTTAGGTTATGCAACTATGTACAGGGCATGAGAACGCCTTTACTGTAATGTGATCATATGTATTACTGTGTGTATAAGATATTAATTTCTAGTATTATATATTTACTAGTCATAAAAACATATTCTGGTAAAAACCTATCATAATATTCAGTCGCGAATGTTTTCATGTGTTCACAAAGTGGGCATTAATGTGCAAACAAGCTTTTGTGTATATATGTTTACACAAGAGCAAGTACAGTGTATACACACTGGCATATGGTGTTATAGGGGGTGAGTGGTGGTAGAATCTATATTCAGACAGGCAAAGGGAGCATGTTTTGTTTTTACCACTATCTACAGTGGCCTGTACTACGAAGCGGGCTTATCCAGGTAACTTCAGGAGTAACTTTGTGACGTTGGGTGTAACTTCCTGATTAACCCATACTACCACAGGTGGATAGGTGTTAACCGAGGTCTGTTGCCATGGCAGTTTACGCTGCATCTCTAAACTGCTCCAAGCAGGTTATGTATACGTGGACTCCACACCATCTGTACTCAGTGTTAATGATTAGAAGTAGGATATTAATACACCACTTGATAAAATAAATTTAGGTTTCATCCTTGTTCCACTGCGGTTGCAGCTGAAATAAGTTATTTACATTCGTACAGCGAGCCCTGCAACCTCTGTAATTTTAGAGAGGAGATCTTAATTAATTAATGGGACAGTTTCTTAGATGTAGCCCATCTGTAGGCTGTAATTGAATTTTCCTATGTGTTTAGATTGACTATTTTACGTGTCCAAAAAATACAGAGCCAGGGTGGGGGTTAATAAACCGAGAAAAAAATCTAGACTCTACATGAAAGTGTCAAATTTAATAGAATCGGAAAAATCGGAAATTCCCTTAAATTAAAGTCACAAATCACTGGTGTTTTCTTCTGAATACGCCCAATCCACGGCAAAGTCTCTAAGGTGCATGATAGTGATTGTGGGCTAAACTCACGAGTATTTCCTCACTGCTGAACCCGATTGGAAAGTCTAATATAACTTTCCACTGCATGCATAATAGGCTACACGGCAGATGTGTGTGTGTGTGTGTGTGTGTGATGTTGAAGCCTTGTATAAATGTCATAAATGTGTGACTGTAATGTCAGAGAATATTCAAGTTGTTTACTTGTAGATCAATCTTGGAAAAATTTTTGTCTTGGATTATTACCCCTCTCCGCTGGCTTCGTTTCTTCCTATTACAATGGACCTTGTGTGCAGTTGTACCTTTACATCTTAATCATATTACATATTTTGTCAGCCGCCACAATATTAGATTTAGCCGTTAACGTGTCTTTACATTCATCATATCCTGACACAATCAACGTCCATTCTTCTGGAGAAATACGGAGCATGCGCTGTTGTAAAAAAACCAACTCCAATTAAGTTAACACCGACTAAGCTAACCAACATCGTATCCACCGTTGTAGTACCGTTTAACACCAGTGTAGACGGTCAGAGTTTGTCAATCCTGAGTTTGATTAGGTTCGTTCATTTGTGTTACATGACCACAACAGAAGTCATGAAATAGTCAGAAATTGTTTAACATTTCACATGGAATTCTGAATACACCATATTTATTAAGGGCTTTGTAATGTTTTTCTTTTAAACCTTCTTCTTGCTGAAAGCAGCTGCTTTCTGGACTGAAAACCGCTACCTGCTCCAGCAAACTCCTCTCACCAATATGTAGTTACAGCACGTAATTCAACCTACAACCACAAATGGCCCTTTTCACATTTATGTTTATGTACGGATCAAAAAAACAAGATACAACATGTTAATCAATTTAGCACTGCTGATAGGCACATCTTTTCCCTCAGGACAAAGCCAGCCAAGCTGTTTCCCCCAGGGCTCCAGTCTTCATGCTTAGCTAGCTAGGCTAACCAAATCCTGACTCCAGCAGCTCCGTACATCTCCACTGATTTAGCATGGCACTCCTGTAACATTGTCAGACTCTCGGTGGATTATAAAAAAAAGAACTGATAAGGCAGAACTAGAGCTATAGTCTTAAAAAAATTCAAACGTGAAAAGTGACAAAGGAAATTACGCAAAACTACACACAAAACAGTGTGTTTATTATTGTAAAGATAGATTGTTTCAGGGTATATTTTAGTCAGTGATGCTGAATTGTGTGAAAGTCTATGGAAGCTTGGACCTAAATATGGCAACAACAAACAGCTTCAATCCTCAGCTGTGAGAAAAAGAGAACAGTGACGGCAAGAGAGAAGTCATACATAATAGGATAGGACTGGCAATGACTGATTTTCCTAATTTCCACATGAACAGATCGGTGAGTCAGAATTGATGGAATGAGCTGTGTATATATCAAGCTTATATATATATATATATATATATATATATAAATGTGCGTGTGTGTGTGTGAGGGTGTCCTTCACTTGTCAGACCACAAGCACAACCCACCACCAACCTCTACACTCTAGTCTTCCCAGTCTTCTTCCCCTTGAGAGCTGACATACTCTGGTGTACTGTTATGAACCCAGTGAACCTCAGCAGAGCCTCAAGCCTGAACTTGAATGGTAGGTTTTAAAACTGAAATATGAGCATCATTGTCTAATCAGTTATGTCATAAATTGTAATCATCCATCATTCTATTTATCTACTTTCAGGGACATAACAGAGTCCAGGTTGAGGTGGCAGCAGGCTAAGAAAGGAAGTCCAGATGGCCCTCTTCCTAGCCACATCCTCTGGCTCTTTCTGGGGGCTCCTAAGGCAGAATGTGCAATATGTAATTCCTGCTGCATGTTCTCAGTCTGCCCAGTGGTCTTCTCCCAGTTGGATGTGCACAGACAATCTCCAGAGGGAGGGCTCCAGGATACATCCTGACCAGATGCCCAAACCACCTCAACTGGCTCTTTGCAATACAAAAGGGCAGCAGTTGCTTCTGAACGTCTGAGCTCCTGACCATGTTTCTAAGGGTGAGCCCAAACATTCTGTGAAGGAAACACATTTCGATCTCAGTCTTTCTGTCAGAAGACTAAACTCATCACCATAGCTGTGAGAGTAGAGTTGGAATTGAAAGGTTCACCTTGGGGCTTAGCCACCTTTTCAACACTACAATCCAGTATAACACTTGCATTGCTACCATTGTTTTGCCAATCTGTCTGTCTGTCTGACTTTTGATCACTTTGTTGAGGTCTTTGTTTGTTTGTTGTGCAGTGATTTCACTGTAGCCCCACTAACTGCTCTATTTAGACCCTTTGAACTGGTGTGGTGCTGCTAGAATCCATGAAATCTGAAAGGGTTTTCATTTTTACTTGTGGCTAAGAAAACCTACATCTGGAGAAACTTTGGTTTAATGTGTCAGCCACAGAGAAAACTTAAAACTTGGCAGCATTTCATCCACCTTTTGACTCCTTGGTAACTTTGCTACTGGTCACTGTTTATGAACTGCTTCATTTTAGTGTTGTGTCGTTCAAAGAACATTTCGTTCATTTGACCTAATCTTGTATGTGACTCAGGAGGAACGGGTTGTCTCAATGAATGATTCGCTCATTTTCACGCATGCGTGAATAGTCTTGGACTCTTACGTTCAGTCGTTACACAGAAGCTGCATGGGCTCCGTCAGCACAGGAAACAGAATTGATTAGTTCAGGACTCATAACTGTGGGTCTCTGGGTTTGAGTCGTTAATTTTTCACGTGACATCTCGGCTACTGTGGAGCAGGAATGAACTAGTCTGCTGTCAGGTAACAGT